GGGCACAAAGGAAAGTGTGGGGGGGGGGGGAGATGAGATGCCCAATGCAAGTCCTTGCAGGTTCCCCACTTGTAATGTATAGTTGTATTAATAATATAATCACTGTTGTGTAGCCTACAGTCCTGTTCCCTTTATTAAAACTCCTCCTTGAACTGTTGCGTCATAATGTAATCCTACTGCCTTTATAAAAATAGCTAAAACGGTATGCAACTCTGGACGGTCAACCTCTGATTAACCCTATGTGACAGTTGCAGGCTTTGAAATAGGAATTGTTGTGCCCTCCGGAACTAATGCAGGAAATAACATCTTGTGTTGTCTCTGCTAAATTTGCTCAACTTAATTTCTTATTAGTTTGAAACTGCTGCAGGAACAGAGGTGGCCAGCAGTTCTAGAGAGGACGATCATATACAAATGATTCGTGACTATCAGCAGCGTCTTCTTAAGCAAAACAGGTATTTCTCTGTCGATATTAAGTTAGCAGGGCTGCCTGTTTGACATTACTTTGCCAACTGAAAAGTGATTCTGCTCATGAAAAGTGTTTCATCATCCCTTCTGATAACGAATGTATTTCTTATAGGGTGCACAAAGAGTCAATTGATGAAGCCCGAAAACGTTTACAGGAGTATCAGAACAAGCTAAAACAAAGATACCCGTCGGTTTCCGCTGCACTGTTTGGTCCAACTGCTGCAGGTTTTGCATGCCTAAATTCTGTCCCTGCACCATCGTTGTTGTTACAAGGATCTGATGCCTCTCAGAGAGCTGGTCAGACCACACACCTGCCATCTAATAATGCTCCTGTGCAAGATTTTGCTCAGCCAGTTGGTGGGTATTCAGAACTTCCTTGGAGGTTGGAGGAGCCCTTGGAGAAGGACGCAGAGCAAAGGCGTGATGTGGGCAGTCAGGAATGCATCCAAACAACGGATGCCCGGGTTCAGCAAAGACCTCTGGAGTCATCCCGGGTTTCTGGTTCACACGAAGTGACAGAAAAAGTGAATCTAGTGGGGACGCCAGCCACACAGGCATTGGAATTCCATGGGATTCCAGGATTGTTCATGCACAGGACACAGGATACTCCTGCTAAAACACAGCCGGTACCACTCGTGCGGCAGGTCCAGTTCACGTTGCCCACAGACACATCTCACGAGTCTTCAGAAACCTTCCATCCTTACAAATCAGAAACGTGTGCAGATCCAGCAGGAAAGACGCAGTTGCCAACTTCTTTAAATCACATCCTGGCAGAGAACAGAGCAACGTTTGACCAGACTCACTGCCCTCCTGTTCAGCCTTTGCCTCCCCCCGCAGCTAGCGAACCTGGGAGGCTCCAGGAATTAAAAAACAGAAGTGGCTCCTTGTCCAGTTACTCCGATCTAGTGGAATTAAGGAACAGGATGCTGGCTTCCTCCGAGAGCATCCAGACTCAGCAGGAGCACCTGAAAGAACTGCAAGACCAGCTGGATCAACAGAAGGAAGCTCTTCTTGCCCGGCAGAGGGCACAGGAGGACTTGCTCATGCGCAAGCACACCCAGTTGAAGAAGCAGATGGAGCAGCAGCAAGAGGCTCTGAAGGCCTTCCTTCAACAGGTATGCTTTTTCTGAGTGCGTGGCAAGGAGGAGGAGGCATCCTTCGGTTTAGTTCTGAATCAGAGCTCCCACCTGCTGCCTTAATGCGGCACTTCAGTCCTGCAGGGCTGTTGGCAGGATGGCTTGTTAGATCTGAGTCCAGTAGCACCGTAGAGGACCAACAAGAGTTTCAGGGTATGAACTTTCAAGAGTCAAAGCTCAAAGGGAAGTTCTGACTCTCAAATGCACATACCCTGAAACCCTTGTTGGTCTCTAGGGTGCTGCCGGACTCAAATCTAAAGTATTCCACTGCAAACCAGCATCTGAAACTTACCAGGATGGCTCGTGGATCCTTCCCACAAAGGGCAGCACTTCCTTTAGGTGCCAGGAACCTTCCGCTGGTATGAGAGACTAGATAGGGATTCCATTATTCCAGGGGTGTTGAACTCATGAGGGCCGGATCTGACATAAACGAGACCTTGTTGGGCCGGGCCATGTGTGTCATAAAAGGTAATGCCAGGTAGTGGAGATACAAACTTTATAAAGGACACAGACAAACTTTTTTGAACTTTAAATAACACATTTCCAGTGAGTTTGACACCCCTGCGTGATTGCACAGTTTCTGGAAACTTTGAAGCATGGGGAGACATTCCCTTCCACTAGAGAGAGGGAAGGAAGCTTGGAGAAGGATTTACATCTACAGAATACTTAACCGCTTTAAGAATTTGCATTTTGGCATATATAACTTGGCACATGAAACTGTGGCATTCAGTAGGTGTGAAATTTTAAATAATTAATTGCCTTCTATTCAAATGGTAATTGTTACTCCACCCAGCTTGAGGGCTGAAGCTGTGAGCCGCTGCAGCCTTTTCCTCATGCCCAGTTTGAGAGTTCAAGGAACCTGCAAGGATGCTTTGCGCTGGTGGAGAATCCCACTCGTCTGACTACATAGAGGCCATGAAGAAGAGCCTGAGGCAAGGGAGGAGGCGGGGATGGGGGTCTGCAGAGGCTGCGCTGCCACATTGCGGGAGCAATAGACCCGGCAGACCTGACAAGATACATGAAGGTGTTCTGTCTTCTGTGCACTGGACAATACTTTTCCCAACGGGCTGTCAGGCAGTTGCAATGCTGTCATCACTAGTGTACTGTTGTATCTTTTCTCTGGGAGGATTTCAGCAGAGCTATAACACTTACTTTAAAACACTACCTTGTTCATTCCTAAAACATTTCATACAAGAGTTCTTGCCACTTGTCCAGCTGCTGAGCCTTTTGTCCTGGATTAGTTGTTCAAAACTCTAGGAACTTTTTTGTCATCCTTGAAATCCTCGGGGGGGGGGGGAATGCAGTTTAGTGCACATATCTTTTTACCTACAGGGAGCTCTTATCCTGTTTATAACCTATCTTTTATTTTCTTGTATATATGTGACATATGCTGTGAGAACAAAAAAAAGTGTCCCCCCCCCAATGGTTTATATCAGCCACTGTTAATCCCAGTTTGATGTCGTTAGTAGCGCCGGCTCTAATCTGGGAGAACAGAGTTTGATTTCCCACTCCTCCACAAGCAGCTGCTGGTGTGACCTTGGGTCAGTCTCAAGTTCTTTCAGAGCTGTTCTCTCAGGGGCAGTTCTCGGGAGAGCTCTCTCAGCCCCACCTACCTCACAGGGTGTCCGTTGTGGGGAGGGGAAGCGGAAGGAGATTGTAAGCCGCTCTGAGACTCCTTTGGTTAGTGAAGGACGGGGGTATAAATCCAATCTCTTCTTCTTTAGGCAGGGCAGTCCAGCACGTATGGAGAGGTGACTCCCCAGGCACAAGAGCCTCACAGCTTCAGACTGTTGGCAACACTTGCTCAAGAAGCAGACTTGGGTGACCAAGAGGAGGCTGAGTGTGGCCCTGTGAGCAGCCCCGCCGAAGAGAGGTTTTTCTTTTTAAGCACGGGTTCATCGGAGCAGATCGGTAAGGCCCTTTTTGACATAGTGAATGTCAGCGTGCTTTCTCATCTGGTTGGGTGGGGTGGGGTTTCCGCCTTTCCTTTCAAGTGAACAGTGGAAGCTTTCTAGAGTAGTAAGCAAAAACGCAACGGGTTGGATCTGTTCTGTTAGGCATGGCGCTTTTCTTTGCGCAAAGAGCCTGTTGTGGGCAAAAGGGGCTCTCTGTAGCCTTCTAAGTCATTAGAAGTCTTCCTTGGGCCAGAGGAAAGCTCTCGCTGTCGGTGGAACACACCTGTGGAATCTGACCTGGTGACTCTGCTTCATGTGAACAGGTTAGGAATCCAAGGAATCAGACGCTTAAATCGGCACATTTAGGGACTGCATTTGAATGATTTGGCGTTTTTTTATTGGCAGTCCTAACGGGTTTTTAAATTGTGACCTTTTGTGTGTTTTTGTAATCGTTTTGCATATTGTTTTTATTGTGTTTTTCACAGTAAATGTTCAGAACTAATTAATTCTGGCTGCTGCATGGCCAGCCACTTCTGAAACCCCAGGGGACTTTCAAAGCAGGTTGTGATAAAACACGGGGGATTGACATTTAGGGGAAAAGTCAAAAGTCCTCCTGGGCACCCTTAAGTCTTTGGGAAACCTAAAGTGGATTTTTGGATCTCTGCCAGAATTTCATTGATCTTAAACATAAGAACATACAAGAAGCCAATGTAGGATCAGGCCAATGGCCCATCCGGTCCAACACTCTGTCACACAGTGACCCTCCCACTGTCGCCCCCCCCCCAAAGCCCCAAGAATATTACAGAGCATCACTTGTCCCAGGCTGAGAGTCCCTATCTATAACTTGTGGCTAAGAGCCACTGATGGACCTCTACTCCATATGTTTATCCAATTGCTTCTTGAAGCCGTCCATGCTTCTAGCCACCCCCACCTCCTGTGGCAGTGAAGTCCATGGTTAATCACTCTTTGGGCGAAGAAGTACTTCCCTTTATCCATTCTAACCCAACTGCTCAGCAATTTCATTGAATGCCCAAGAGTTCTTGTATTGTGAGAAAGGGAGAAAAGTACTTCTTTCTGTGCCTGCTCTATCCCATGCATAATCTCGTAAACCTCGATCATGTCGCCCCTCAGCCGTCGTTTCTCTAAGCTAAAGAGCCCCAAGCGCTTTAACCTTTCTTCATAAGGAAAGTGTTCCAACCCTTTTATTATTCTAGTTGCCCTTTTCTGCACTTTTTCCAATGCTATAATATCCTTTCTGAGGTGTGGTGACCAGAACTGTAGAAGCATGGTTTCTTGATGGGGCATCACATATTTCCATATTTGCAGGTGGGGGTTGAGACAGAGAGAATGGCTTGCCTGAGGCAGAGGCAAGACTTGAACCCAGGACTTCCTGATCCATAGCTCAGGTCTCCTTGCTATTGCACTGCTGCAGTTCCTGGTGGCCTGAACCCAAACATTTACCTTACAGAGCCATTTCAAAGTGCTTGGGAAAGAGAACCAAAATGGAGACCCTCAAAGCCACCTTTGGCAAAAGTCAGGCTAGGCCTTGACTTGGAGCAGCACGAACTTAGCGCTATACTGGAGCTCGACACACCAAGGAGCAGCAGGCTTTCTGGTACAGGTAGATCGGTCTTCTTTTCTTCTGAGTGACTCTGCCCTCCCCCTTGTTCACCAGCTGACATTGAGCCAGAAGATCTCTCAACTGTCTACAGTTCAAGAGCCAGTGAGAACAATTCAGTTGTAGGGGCCATGTTATTTTAAAGTAGTGGTTGGAAAGTTTGGTTTGTACATTGTTTTTCATGCCCTGCTCTCATTCATCTGCTGAATAGAGTCTGTTGCCTCATACGCAGTTTTGTTACCAGCATGATTGATCTTTCGCAGGCTGTCATCTTGGCTTTGTGGCCTAGTTTGCATAGCAGCTGTGGCACATTTTCTTGAGTTCTCATCATCTTCCCCCTCCACTACTCTTGAATGCCTTGTGCAAAACTGGTGTTCTGACTTGTGTGAGTAAGAGAAGCATGGTTTCTGGCTGGACAGAAGGGCCAGACTTTGGGGACGGGGGGAGATTTGGGGTACCTATGCCACTCCACTGGGTTTTTTTGTGTGTTGTTCCAGTGGCCAAATTCGTTGCTGACTATAAATGTCCCAGGAGTAGGGAAGGAGCTATAAGATTGATTTTACATAGCCTAATTTTGTGTATTAGCATAAAGATACTGTGATTTAGCACCGGATATCGGTATTAAGAACACTGGCACTTGACACTAACATTACTTTAAAAAAAATAGCATTTGAAATCAATGATAAAAAGCTAATGTCCTAATTTTTAAGTAATTCATAGATCAGAGAGGAACATCAAAAATGTGGTAACGCTATAAAACCTGGCAGAGATTACTTTTAAAAGGAGATTCTTTTTTTAAATTCCACTAAGAAAATGAACTTTCTAACTGAAACAAAATCTCTTCTAAAGAAAAATACTTTGATTTTGCTTTTTAAAAATGTTCCTACTTTGAGTACCATCTGTGACAATTTCAGGTTACAGAGAATCTCTTACTAGAGACACTTCCTTCACATCGCATTTTGGCGAGCTTCAGTCTAGCGATCGCCCAGATGAATCCCTCCATGAAGAAACGGATGTCCTACGCATTACAGCTGATGCCAAAGAACAGAGTTCTAGTGAAAGTCCAAGTAGCCTCTTAAGTCAGTCATGGCATGAGAAGTGGGTGACGGAGGCAAGTAACTTGCATGACCCAGGTGAGAGTGGTTACCTTTTGAATGGGTAAACATCAGGCTGGACCCTAAGAGCCATCAGTGCAGCAGGGCTTGCAGAGCATAATTTTACTTCCACTGCCTCCCGAAATGCAACCCCTGCGACTTGGTGGACCCTGGCCATGGGGGTTTGCAGTTTGGGGGGAGAATCAGCAAACATCACTTTCCCCTCCGCCCTGCTCTTGTGTGAGCAGAAATGCGATTTGTGCAAGAGAAAAAGGAATCAGGATCCAACCCATTATTCTTAAAAATCCTCCAGAGCTGCTTATTCATGGCCATCAAAAACTGCAAGTCTGCTTCTGGAAAACATGCAGGCTCCAAAGGGAGACTTCCACAACTGTAAGGCAGCCACTCTACATATATGTTCTGTGGACGGTATTCAGGTGACTGAGTGAGTCAAGACTAGATAGAGTGGAAGTATGCCATTTAAAGATCTGCTGGTCAAAGCCGGCACCTTGAACTGTGCCTTTAAGCTGAAAGGGCTATCACATCACTCCTAGTAATGAAGTGGGTTTTGCTGTGTACAAGTGTAGTCGCAAAGTGGGGCTATTCACAGACAGGGTAGGGATTTCTCCATGTTTGGGGGGCTACCCAGGTATGAAGAAAAATTTTAGCTTGTGAATTGAAAAGGAAAGAGAACAAATGGCCCTACGAGAACTGAGCGTTGTTATTGGTTTGCAGAAACGCGGGATGCTGAGGGCGCTGAATATCAGCTGGGAAAAGAGAAAACAGATGGAGAGAAACGTCCTGCTTGAGCCCCTAATGTTTTTAGTGTACTGTCATGGGGAGGGGCATAGGGTTAGAGTACTGCCCTGTGAGGTCTGTATCTCCCTAATGCTTATTCAACTCTGCCAACTATCATACAGCACAGGGGAAGTAAATATGAGCAGGAATCGACACATGAGTAAGGCTTACTGTATAAAGCTTGCTGACCCTCAAGCACTTGGGGTCAATAATGGCTTGCCGATGATCATGTCCTGCCCTGAGTAAATCTGCTTTATTCTTTTTTTTCCTTAAAAAAAAAAAATTGGTTCCCAGTTTATCCAAGAGAACGTTCTTTCGCGGATCAAGGTCTGCTACGTTACACTGCTGATATTGGAAGGCAACTAGCTCTGTATCCCGATTCGCCATCTAGACAAAGTAATATGGTTAGTCACGCTGGAGATTCAACATGTTCCGGTGCATTTTAAAAGAAACAGACCTGCTTCTCTTGTTTTCTGATGTGTGTGTCCTTAGGCGCTATCAGTTTGAAATATTAATTTGAAATCCATCCATAAATGTGAGAGCTGTTCATTCTTTCTACTGCTATATGGTGCGTAATGGGGGCTGAGGCTTTAACCTTCACATACATGAACACATGAAGCTGCCCTGTACTGAATCAGAGCCTTAGTCCATCAAGGCCAGTATTGTCTACTCAGACCGGCGGCAGCTCTCCAGGGTCTCAGGCAGAGGTCTTTCATATCACCTACTGCCTGGTCCTTTTAACTGGCGATGCCGGGGATTGAACCTGGGACCTTCTGCATGCCAAACAGATGCTCTGCCAGTGAGGCACAGCCCCTCATTTTTTCATTTGTCGGTTTGGCATGGGTATTTTTTTTTTGGGGGGGGGGGGGTTCAAATGCTTCAGGCAGCAGCAGTGCAGCATTAGTTAATAGCACTAGGTAAAATGGGAGTGGGGTTGACATTGGAGGCATTGCCATAGGGGGATTGGGGTGGACTCATTTGTTGTCCTTGTGAGCCCAGTAGAGGAGAAGTGAAGAAATTGGATTTATACCCCACCCGTCGCTACCCGAAGGAGTCTCAGAGCGGCTTACAATCTCCTTTCCCCTTCCCACAACAGACACCCCATTAGGTAGGTGGGGCTGAGAGAGCTCTTTCAAGAACTTCTGAGAGAACAGCTCTGAAAGAACTTGAGACTGACCCAAGGTCACACCAGCCGCTGCATGTGGAAGAGTGGGGAATCAAACCCGGTTCTCCCAGATTAGAGTCCACGCTCCTCTAACCACTACACCAAACTGGCTCTCAGTAGGTAATGCATGTGCCTTGTTAGGGGTGACAGAATACTGCATGCTGGCCCTGTGGCAGTATTGCTTTGCTATTCCTCTGAGATCCTCTGATCCAGGGGGCTCTGTGATGAGAATTAGCCAAATCTGAGCACCGAAAAAAAGACCAATAGGTCTATATATATAAGGTGCATGATCTAGAACACTGTTCTGGGAAGCAATACAAGTCTGTGAGAATGTGGTGTGTGAGTGAATGAGGTACGTAGTGACTGAATGAATGGGGAAGGGTTTTGTGTGTGTGTGCGTGTGTGTGTGTTAAGTGTGTGCGTGTGTGTGTGTATTGGAGAGAGACTTTGCTGAGCTGTGATGACCCCAGTGCATCTACTGACGGTCAGACCCATGGAGGTGTCTACACTTGAGCTGAGCTCAGAACAAAGCGTTGTAAACTTCACTTACGTTCACAGCAGATAGCAGTAACAGTACTTCTTTTTTTTTTTTAATGTATTCTTGCCCTAGGTAGTGCTTGATGCAGCAAGGTCCCCTGGCTTGGGGCCATCAAGTCCACAGGCTCAAGCACGAGAGGCAGCTTGTAGCTATTTGTCTTCGCCTGCTATTTCTGCTGCCAGCTTTATAATGAGCGAAAAGCCAGACAGAAGCTTTGTCAGCACAGGTACATTTCCCTGCAAGTCAAAGCCACAAGTCTGAACGGTGGTGTGGTTTCTTCTGCATCTTTAATGCGATGAAATTCTGATGCTTCAGTTCCTCAACCTTCCGGGTTGTGATCAGAAGCATATTAACTTTCTTAAGCTGGGCTGACTGAACCAGGTTTGCTCTTGATGTATTTTTCAGGGTGGTCTTCAGCTAGAAAACGGCCCGGGTGTTTCAGCTCTCCTGTGGAAGAGAAGGCAAACGCCACTTGGAACCCTTCTGTGCCTTCACTGTATAAGCAGGATGATGCCGCCGAAGTTCCAGATTCTGATTTTCCTTTTGGAGAAAGGCTTCACTCGACCAGTAGACTCCAGCAGATCATAGACAAATACACAAGAGAACTGAGCTGGTCTCTAAGCAACGTATCTTCTCATGGTAACGTGTCCAGAACGCAGAGAACAAATACATCTCGGAGGGAGTGACGTCCATGTTTTTAAAACTGTTTTCATATCTTGTACATTTGCTGTGTTTAGCAGCTGGAAGGTAGGAAATACTGATCTCATCCCTCTGGCATCAGGCTACTGGCTGGGGGGGGGGAAATAGGGGCTGTTCCTTCCGCATCCCTTGAGGCTCTTTTGGCAAAGGAACAAGGAGGCCTGAAGTGGCTCACAGCAGTCTCCTGGTTAGGCCAAGATGAGAGCATAGGACTGGCTCAAGGTTACCCAGCAAGCTTCCAGGGCAGAACAAGGATTCGAACTTGGGTCTCCCACATTTCAGTCTGACACTCTAACCACTACACCGCATTTAATCAGGGTGCTGTAGTACACAGTGGGCTCAGGTTGCCAAGCACTAGAATTGTGTTTGATATGCTGGGAAAAGGTGAAACAAAAGGGACTAGCGTATTGTCATGATTCCATACTGTAGGCTCAGGGTGGCAAATTATGGGCCGCAGGCCACGTTCAGCACACGGGAGCTTGGAAATAGGAAGAGCTGACACCTTCTCGGAGCCCTCGGAAGCAGGCAGACCCCCCACATGTGGTCCTCAGGCCCAAATAAATTGTCCAGTTTCAGGCTGTATGTTGGTTAGCAGTTTTATAGGTGTATTAGCGAGATATTGGGTATATGTGGTGTAGGCCTCTAAAAGCAATCTGCCCTCTGTCCAGGCTTGAGGAATTGAATGAGGGTTTTACTGGAAGACCCGGCATCCCACATATTGTTGCTGGGCTTAGCAGCCAGCTGCTTGCTGCTGGCAGCTGAGAAATCTAATCCCATCATAATTCTGCCTTAAAAATTCCAAGATTGACGGGCCCATTATACTGGGCTGTTAAAAGAAAGTTGATCCTTCAAATGTCAGAAATGAAACACTGCCACTTACGTGGTCACTATAGTTCACCTTATCTAAATTAAGAAAGCCATGATATTTTTTGAACTTTTATTGAACTTTTACATTAATTTTATAATTTTTGGCCAGTTTGTCTCTTCAGGTTCTTAATTCAACCCAGTGAGATTACTCTAGAGTGGCCATTTCTAGGCAACCCACAATACTTCCAACCTTTGAGTCTTGGGTTCTGTCAGTAAAAGGCAGGGGACAGGCCCTTTCCAAGGCTGCTTTGGCCTTTGTGGGGAGGACTCATGGGGGGCCAGGCTGGCCACTAACCACCAGGTGACCTGATCGTCACTGAAACTATCTGGCAGGTTTTGGAAAAGCTGCTTAGTAGAAATTAGTAGCAGAAACTTCCTCCCCACTGCTGACCTTTTGTGGAAGGGACCATCTTAGAGAGTTTACCCTGCCTCACTCCCCGGTGGGGATCCAAAGTGGCTCACGTCATTCTCCTCTCCTCCATTTTTCTCTCACGACGATCTTGTGAGGTAGGTTAGGCTGAGAGTGCGTGACTGGCCCAAGGTCACACAGTGAGCTTCCATGGCGGAGCCAGGAATTGAGCCTCCGAGATCCTGGTCCGTCTCTAGCTGTTGCACCACACTGGCTCTCAATGGCAACTATCCAAAGTACTGAGAGGGGTTTTGGCCTTTTCTTTTCCAAGGTATATATTATACTGTTGCCAAACGGCGAAATTTGTTGCCCTAATTTCTTAAATACTTACAAATGCTTTTTAAATCTCTCTTTATTTTTTAGATCTAGCCATTGGAGTTGATGTTTCAAATACTGAGAGAAACTCTCCCCTGGAACTTTTCCAGCCTTTGCAACCCAGTCCAGACTTCGATAACTTTTCGCCCCTTTCTGAACACAGGTTCTCTCCTGAGAGCAGGAGCCTCAGCAAGGTATATCAGAAGCGAAGGAAACTTATTACTTTGTGCGTACAGCGTTAAGGTGATAAACTCGTGTAGAACAAGGATTTATTATTTCCTTGTAAAAGCAGTTCTATTGCGAAAATTTCCTTTTCATCCTTTGTATTCACATGAAGTTCCTTGTAAGGTTCTTTGCCGAATAGGTGGAAATGAATGGGTAAAGTGTGTTCTTGCATGGGGGTAAGATGCCATCTTACAGAAGTGTTCATGGAAAACAAGGGTAGAATGTCTTGATTAACATTTTCATGATAACACCGCTAATGTTTTTTACGTTTTTTTTATCCCAAGAGTCCAGATGTCTCCATGAGTCACGGATTACCAATTTCCAGCTCAGAAGAACGGAGTATCAGCCTCTCTTTCCTCACTGTAGAAAAGCAAAGCAATACTCTGCAAACAAAAGAGGCTGATGAGGAGACAGAAGGGCAAATTGAAGGTAAACTGCTTACTTTTGTAGAGAAAATTCTGCTCTGGTTGTTTGATAAAAATCCTGTCACTACAGTAGCAGGTTTGTGGTTCTCTAGATAAGAAGCTGCCTTGCTGATCTTAACGTTATAAATTCAGGCTCCGGAGGTTTACTTGCCGAGCGATCTTCTGCCTTCAGTGAAAATATAATAATTTTTTCCTTGGCAATCCTGATGGTAAAGATACAAAAGTGGTAAATGGGCCTTACATGGTAAAAATGGGTCTCAGGCAACAAGGCAGATGTCTAGCTCTATGTAGGCTCTCCTGGAGGCGTAGCATTTCCATGACTTAGCACTTGGCAATTTGGAAACAATCCTGCTGTCCGACTAATCAGTCTCCATGTTCTTAATCATTTAAAAAAAAAATTAAAAGGTTTGTTAGTGGAATTAGTGACAAAAGCCTTGTTTTCTTTTTTTTGTACGATTGCTTTGACCAGAACTTCCTAGTATAACAATGGACCCTTCAGTGTTTCAGCCAGGTTTTGAAGGCTCTTTCGAAGCCCTGCTCACAAAAAGAACTTCACACAAGCTTAGCGGCAGCGCTGATGAACCCGTGGACTTCACCACTACGTCTGAACATGCTATGTTTGAGCAAATGAGAAAGTCTTTGGAGAATATGTGTGTCTTACCTGGCCATGAGGCACTGGAAGGAGACGAGGAGAGGGCCGGTCCCCTTTCCCCCATCGAAAACTTCCGTAGCCCAAGTCCGAGTCCAGTAGAAGATAGCGGCTCATTTTATCAGCTCGTTCCTGATTACAGTTTACCGAGAAATGCTCTTGGGATGACGCCTGCTGTAAAAGGGGATGTGGTATCTGGAGAAGAGGACCTGTGTTTTGTCGAACTGCCTGTGGCCTCAACCAGCCCAAAACCCGAGGCAGTCCCAGAAACTGTGATTATGAATGAAGACAGAGAAATGGGTCTCTTCCGGTGTGCTTCATATCCCGTTGGAGAGCATAGTTCTCAACAAACAGAGACTCTGCTGAATTTGGCTCAAGAAGCCAGCTCTGAAATCTCTGCCAGTCCTGTGCAAAATCCTGTGCGCCGAAGCGGCTGTGTGCCGGACACCCTTCAGAGGTCATCCTCAAGTGCCACTCGTGTTAAAAGCTTCGGTTCCTGTTTATCGCAGAGCGACATACCGGTCTGGGTGAGTGAACCAAGAACAAAGGGCGGCACGTAAGAAATCAATTGGTCCACCTAGACAGAATTACCTTTAGAAACCCTTTTATCTTCTGAAACATTTTCCAAATGTTGCCTGCCTTTGGTGTATTGATGGCAGCAGGGCATTGAACTAGAGGGATCAAAGAGGGGCAACAAAGGGCTTTGCTACGAACCTTAAAAGCTGCCTTTGTTCCAGCTCTGGTGGAGAAGGATCTGTGAGATGGTGTACTTATGTGACCTGTGCATTTTCCCTAAAAGGTTGTTTGGTGTGGTTTTGTGTTTCAGGTTTTTTTTGTTTTTTTTTTTAAAGGGGGGATTTAAATTAGAGTGGAGTCTCTGGAACAAATTGCATCAAGAAGTACAGGATGTCCATAGCTGCCACAGAGTGTTGGGTGGGGGTGGGCATGGCCCAGTGGCAGAGCATCTGCTCGACACGCAGAAGGTCCCAGGTTCAGTCCCCGACATTTCCAGTTAAAAAGACCAGAGAGTAGGTGCCTGAGACTGCCAGACTGAGTAGAAAATACTGGCCTTGATGGACCCAGGGTCTGATTCAGTATAAGGCAGCTCCATGTGTTCGTGTGATGTGCTTTGCTCATGGCAACACTCTCCTCCAGCCCAAGGATCTTTCCACTGGGGCATGAGGTTCTTCCGGCATTTGGCTGAATTGCCACTTGTATCGGCAGAGGGCTCCTTGCCCTGGAGGGAAGCGCTGTTGTTAGCGGACACCTCCCCATTGAGGCTGTCCCTGCCTCTCACAGAAGGACTGCCCTGGCATCCTTCTCATCCGGCCCTCTTAAGCTGCTTTTCTTTCCCTGTCCTTCCTTCCTCCCGGCTAGGACTCTTGCCTTCCCTAGTCTCCCATTTTCTTGCCGGGCCCCCCCCCCCCCCCCATGTCCCCCTTCCCCTTGCCCTCTCCTGCCTCCATCTGGGCTGTCCATTACCCCACCCCCGCTCCTCCCAAGCTGCCTTCTCTCTCCTGCCCCAGCAGCATCTCAGGTTGGTCAGCAGGGTCGGGGTGGCCACGCCCCCCCGCCAGCAGAGAACCGCCTGCTCAAACCAGGCCCAGGAGCACGCTCGCCTCCCTTCCGCCACGGCCAGAGTTAGCAGCCAAGCCTCCATCCTGGCCACCCAGCTGCCTACACCAAGCCTTCCTTTTTAATTTTTTTAAATTTTTACATATTCAAAAATATTACAGCCATTTTTTATACTTTTCACAGAATCATAGCACTTTATGTACTAATAAAATTGCTATCCATTCTATTACTAAAGATAGGTAAGCCTTCAGAAAAGTCTAATTTACGTTATGTACCATTCTACCGTTCAAAAATACAACAGATTCTTATTATATAAATTATTTGGAATTACTTCTTTTTCTGTTAAGTATTCCGTTATTGGGTACCATATTTTCAATCATTTTTTCTTCTTGTCTTTAATGATTGCTGCACCAAGCCTTCCCAGGGCGTTTGCAGGCCCTCACTTGCTCTCCTCTGCTGCAGCCTGGGTAAGGTGGGGGGGCAAAGATCCCCCCTCGACCAGCGGGGTGTCATGCAGTAGATGTTTCAAAGACATTTTTGTTTCCCAGGAGCAGCAGATGGGGAGAGGCATTATGGAGGAGCCTGACTTGACTCTGATCAGCTCCAATGACATCAGCTTTGCCAGCTCAGACTTGGAACCTCGTAACCAAGCAGACAGCGGAACTGAAGCAGCGGAGCCTAGGAGCCATTCCGAAGCAAAAAGCTTTACAGAGGTACACTTTTTAAAAACAGGGCTTTTTCAGATACGGGAATCCTCTCGCCAGCTTAGAATGTTTTGCAAAATCAAAGCCATCGGTTGTGAAACTTATTATTTTTTTACTGCTTGATATCTGGCATGCTGGATTTTAATGTGTGTGTGTAGTATCTCTCTTGCTGCGATATTAGAGGTGATGAGGTGATGTGGCTCATGAAGTCAGAACTTAGTTTTCACCTCTGAGCAAGAGGTAGAGAGATAGAGAGATTAAAAAGGGTGGGGGGGCAGGCCATGGCATTTGGCCTAGTAGATTCTCTAGTAGGTTCTGGTGGGCTGTCTGTCGGGGTGTGGCTTCTTGTCCTGTTCACTAGTGCTTCTAAAAAAAATTTTTTTTTGCTCACCTCCCTCTCACCAGCAGTGATACAGGGCAAAAAAATTTCACCCCACATATGCAAATATAGTCTGTTTATAGTTGTCACGACTGTTGTGCTGACTGTTAGGCTAAACGTGGGATAGGAAGCATGATCGAATCCCAGCGCTCGTCCTTGTGGTCCAGGCTTGTACATGTCACCTTTTGAGAACATCATTTAAATATTTAAATTATTTGAATTTGAATTGGGAAACCCCCGTCTCTGACCCCAACTGCTCTTCCCAACTGTCTGTAGGTGAGCCATGTAGAGATCCTTCCACAGACCCATGTACCTGCAGCCTGCTTAAACAGTGAAAAGAGAAGTGGGTTGGGAGATATATATATATCTCCCAGCACAGTAGGAAAAGGACAGAAGAGGGGTATCTCTGCCTCCTCCCAAAGACAGAAAAACATTATTAAAACAGAGCGGCTATACTTCCCACACGAGAGTGCTTGTGCACAAGGGGAGGGGGCATTCATCTCCACACATCTAACGTTCGATCCTGGAGGCCCTCCGCCTTCAGCCCTTCTAGGCTGCTCAGGAGCCTCTGTCTCCTTGACACATTCCGTCCTCCCTTCTGAATGCTCTGTACTCACCTCCTCCTGCTTGAGGAACACTGCTGTGCGATGTGTAGCACAGTGATGCTGCAATATATGCCACAGTTCCTGGGGACCTCTGGTGTGGGGATTAGTGAATGCTGTATACTGTGCAGTCAGGCTGCCGGAAAACAATGCAGGCGGCTGTTGTTTGGGCCTCTCCACTTTCCTTACTGTAACGTTCATGTTGGAAGAGTGGCTGTATTCAATGGCTTCCAGCCACACACTCTTTTCTGATCTCGGGTTCCGGTGCATTCCGCAGAAGCACTTTTCACTTTAGCCGTGTCATTTCTTTTGCATCTGGATTAATGGCAGAGTAGTCTTTTTTAGTGGCCCCTAAATTCTTTCTGCTGCATCAGCTGCAGATTATACAGACGTCACATTGCTTATTCTAGCCAATTATTCTTTTGACAGAGCAGAGGGTTTTTACCTTCAGGTGCAGAAGGGAATGACTCCGTTTCCACTCAGCACAGCGAGTGTCTTGCTCAGAGTCCCAAAGAGGATTTTTGTCAGAACTACAAGCCAAAAAGTAAGTATGCAGTAGATTCAGAGTAAATGCCAAGAGATAAGGCAGAATGGGTTGGATCCAACGACTCTGTTCCACTAAAGGCAATGCTTCCATCCAGCACGGGAGGTCCTGGCCTTGATGGAGGAACACAACAGCCATCAGGGGAATGACGTTGTAGAATCCAACCCAACAATTTTCATGGCAACTTCCAAATCCATTTGTCTGAGACAGAATAATGGGGATCTTGCTATTGATCTATCCAGGTCTTTGTGATTACTTGCTAGGTCTTGTACAGACCACAAAGCCACATTTGTATTTAATGTTATTTGGTGTCTTCTAAAAAACCCCATTTTTATCTGTCTCCAGACCTCTTGCACTTACGTATGCATGTCCGTCAATAAAATTTTATTTTTTACAAAACCCAAACACACACTAGAAAGCCAGACAGGGGATAATGCTTATAAAGTATCGCTAACTCACAACTCAAAACAGAACAAAGTTTGAGTCCAGACCCTATTGGTTCAGACCAACAAGTTAAATTCTGGGTACAAGCTTTCATGTGCACACACTGTTTTTCAGCTATCCGAAGAAGTATGCATGCACATGGAAGCTTATACCCAGAACTAAACTTATTAGTCTTAAAGGTGCCACAGAACTTAAACTTTGTTCTACTACTTCAGACCAACACAGCTACCCACCAGGATCTATCACAACTGAAAATGTAATCCTAACATCAGCAATCAAAAATAGTCATTATTCTATGCATCATTATGACATTAGTAAACAACATACAGTTTCACATCACTGTGGGTTTCTGTGTGAGTCCCCCTTTTGAACAACCTCCCTTTGGCCTATTAGCTTGAAACACCCAGTGTTTAGTACAAGTCACTAATTGATAGCAGGAATCTAAATGGCATGCTGCTGTGTTCTGAAAGGGAAGAAGATTGGCCTCCATCTTCATGACAAGCCAGCCAACTGGATGCTCCACTTGGTTGGCCCCCAAAAATTTACTGCAAGCAGTGCTCCCTCTAGCTGTGGAGTCTTTTGAGCAAAAATTCTACCTTGTGAGCTACTGGCATTAAAGTTGTTAGTGAGCAATTTGGCTGCTGCATAAATTAGTTTGTTCTGGAGCCATCCTTCCTGAGCCAAGACAAAAATCTGTGAGCTGGAGGCTAAAAAAACTGAGCTAGCTCACACTAACTCAACTTAGAGGGAACACTGACTGCAAGGACAAAATCCTAGATGAGAGGTGTGCAGTACTGTAATTCCGAATGGATCGATGGATTTGTGAAAGCATTCGGTTTTTTTCCTATCAGTTGAATTGTATTACACTAGACGTAATAGCACCCTTCAAAACTAGATTATAGCACTGGTAGCTAACCTGTAATCCACAGAATGCCTGCCAAGAACATGTTATCAAATGTCTTCCAAGCCACGAGTAAAAAAACTAGTACATGAAAAACATATGTTGCACAAAAGGCAACTCTCTAAGTAGGGGTTTATTTAGGATCCATGCTGATGGTTTGCAAAAAAAGCACCTTTTTAAATTTGAGCTTGAATGACCCTTTCTGGAGAACGTCTTTCTCCCTGGTCTCTCTTGCTGTCTCTCTGGAAACTGACTGCGTAGGAACAGTCTTATGGCTGTGGGAGTATTTTGCTGTTATCCTTGTTTACCCCAATCAGGGAGAGGGGGGATCCTTTTTGGTTCCCTTCTTGCTGTGTGCAGCTTTCAAAAGGTATGGGGGAGACATCTAGAATTTGGGATTTTTATCTTCCAAGTGAGATGAGCGGTGTAAAGCTCTCCTCTGCTGACAGTCAGAAGCCATTGCAAGCAAGTGGGAATAGAAGAACATGCCGTTGAATCAAAGCCAGCCCATGACAACCACACCCACAAGGCAGTCCTTGATGGTCCCCCATCCAAGTACTAACCATGGCCCACCCTGCTGACAAGCTAGGGATAAGGGGCCGCCTGAAACCTCCAACATTCTGAATTCACACCCACCCCGATTCTCCATTCAGAATCACTCCAGCACAGAGTTGTTGCCACTCACCATGTCATGGTTTTCTTTATCAATTGCATTATTACACATTTTGTGAAACTGGCTTTTGAGAGCCAGTTTGGTGTAGTGGTTAGGACCACGGACTCTTAATCTGGAGAACCAAGTTTGATTCCCCACCCCTCCACATGCAGCTGCTGGGTGACCTTGGGCAAGCCACAGTTCTCTCAGAGTTGTTCTCTCAAGAGCAGTCCTCAAAGAGCTCTCCCAGCCCCGCCTACCTCACAGGATGTCCATTGTGGGGAGAGGAAGGGAACTGTAAACTGCCCTGAGGCGTTGAGTGAAGGGCAGGGTGTAAATCCAGTCTCTTCTTCTCCTATTGGTTCAGAACCTACCAAACTAGTTTTAGCCCCTGATCTGTGACTCTGCCTCTCTTTACATCTGTGTCTGCAGGATGAAGTAGTGGAAGAGGGGCTCATTTTCTTTGCTTCCCACCCATCAGCCTTGCCCGGCTTCAGTATTTGCATGCAAATCCACCCCTTGAGTTTAAACCCGTTTGCTGTATTGCCAACACAGAAGCTGGTGAAAACACTTGTCATTTTCACTCCGTTGTTTTATGTGTGCAAAGGGTGATGTACTGTGCACAGGTTATCGTTACCAAGGGAACCTTCAAGTCAGATTACAGTTTAATTAGTTTGTTCTAATTACTGTGTGTTGGTTTTATTGAGGATTGGTGATCATGGTCAAGCTGTTTTTGTGTCTTTACTAAAAGTTGTGTCAAGTAAAAAAAAATCCATAAAGTGGTCTGCTTTCTCTACCCCCCACCCCACCCCCCACCCCAAGCAATGCTTTTAGAGTTCCCATCTGCCCCTGGCAGCTTACAAGAATCGTTTTTGAAACGGAAGAAAAAATTCATTGAGGGATCCTCTAAAAGACTGGAGAAAATTAAAAGCAGACAGCAGCGTTCTGCCAAGCCGCCACTGAAGGCACCCCCACAGAAAACGACAAAGCTTCACAAAGCAAAAGAGAACTCTCCTCCCTCTGGTAATCTCCCCTTAGCAAACAACCCACTCACTGCGCAGGCTGGGACTTTCTGAGGAAGGACAAAATAAGCGGGCGTAGCTTTTCTGCTTCTGGCAGTTGCCCCCAAGGAGCTGAAATGCTTAGAGCTGCTTTATAAAAGGAAGTGGCTCGCCCTGAGCCCAAGGGGTTGTTAAGGGAACAATCTAAATTTGAACAGAGCACTAATGTAGTTTAATAGCAAGAGCAGGATCTGGGTTTAGATCTCTGCTCAGCCCCTGAAGCTCATTGGGTGAGTCTGTCTGTCTGTCTCTCTCAGTGTAGCCTACCTCATCAGGTTCCTCAGATAAAGTGAGGAAGGGAGAAAACATGGGACAGCACCCCAAGCTATCTGGTGGAAGGATTTTTTTTTTGGGGGGGGGGGATGTGGTTGATAGAATGTAGTTGGTTGCCGTGTAATGCAAGTATCTGGCAGAACAAAAGCCAGTGGCTGCTTCACAGAAGGCCTCACATGTAAACAGTAGCACCTTTTTGGCCCTGGCTCCTCCCTGGTAGAACTCTCTACCAGGAGACATCCTTACCCTGCAGGACCTTGTACAGTTCCGCAGGGCGTGTAAAAGAGAGATGTTCCACCAGGCCTATGCCTGAGGACAGCAGTGGTATTTCCATCTCATCTGGCCCAGGACCCCACCCCTTGGAGGAAGTGACCATGTGCAAAATGCCATCCAAGACAGAAGGTTGATGCTTCAATTAGTTTTTTGGGAATTACAATTGATTCACTGGTTGTAAATTAATTTATCCACTGTGATGTTTTAACTGAATTGCATCTTGGTGGGGGTTTTTTTGGGGGGGGCAGCAGTGGGAGGGCTTCTAGTGTCCTGGCCCCACTGGTGGACCTCTTGATGGCACCTGGTATTTTTGGCCACTGTGTGACAGTGTTGGACTAGATGGGCCATTGGCCTGATCCAAGATCGGCTTCTCGTATGTTCTTAAATATATTGTGCACCGCCCTGAGCCCTACAAGGGAGGGCAGTTTAGAAATTTAATACATAACAATATAATAAGTAGAATCTTCTGTCTGTAGACAGTGGCTTGAACCTTCATAGCTCTCCCAGCAGTGCAGGGTTCATAAAGCAGGGCTTTTCTTTGCCTTCTTCCACTGCGGTGCACAGAGTCCTCTCTTGATCCTGCATTCAGAGGCTACCCATTAGTAGCATGGGACACGGGGTTTACAGTGGGGAAGGAGTTAACCCCTTTCACCAACAAATATTTTTTTCATCATCAGAGCCCCAGGCTACAGGATCCAAGCCAGCTGGATAGGGGGGAATGAATAGGCTTATTTGCCCTGGGAAGATTGTGCCGTATAGCTGTCCATCCCAGTGCCCGTTGAATCTAGTCTCACAGCCTGGTTTTGCTTGTTGTATTGTGATTGAATCCAAGGAGCCGCTGTGAGTCATTTGAAGAAAGTGGTGGAAGACAAAGTGTGCTCCGCAGAGGACAGGAAGATGGCAGAGATGGAAATGCATCAGCGTACTTCAAGGTAGTGTGTGACGTGGTGCTTTCTTTTCTGGATTGCTCCCCCTCCCCCCCCAGCCGACACTTTCTTCCCCAAGGGGATAGGCTGCAGTTGGTAAAAACAGTTTGGGTCTCATCCAGGTTTATCACTTTTTGACATCCAGTCACATCTACCGTTCTGTTGCCTGCTCACCCAGCGCAAAGAGATTCTTTTTGGCCAGTTCACTGGTTAACATAAAACACTTCTTCACCTCTTGGCAGGTTGTATAATAATCTAACGGAAGTGAAAATCCGCAAGGAAGAGAGAGAGAGACGAGAAATTTATGCCAGAAACCGGGAGAAGGCAAAGGAATTTCAGAAGGTAAGCTGCTGGCAGCAGACAGCTTTTGCAGCCCCCACCCCAGTGCGGCCTTGAATGTAATTTGTCTCCCCAAGGGGGACCTCAAGGTCAGGTTCACGGCCAAGGCATTCGCATAAAGAGCATCCGGTGTGTCGGTGCAGCTTGAGGATAGTAGCCGGGCCACACAATAGTACAATAGTAGCCGGGCCACACTATAATCCAACAAAAAGTATTAAGTACGTGACTCCAGAGTAGCACGTAAAAAATTATGTACATTCTTATAAAGATTTATTTTACAGTGCTGACACCAAACATTAAATGCTAACTGAGAAACCAGTTGGGAGGAGTTTTCACATCACAAAGCACCAGTTTGAATAATTGCACAATAAATTGGCAGTTTGAAAACCCAACTTTGCAGTGATGTACTGAGAAATGCTGTAGATCTTCATGGTTATCGGCAAAGAGCTGTCGATGAAGTGAGATGCTGATGACGGGGTGCCCGGCTCTGCTTCTGTTCTGAAGTGTTCTTCTTCAAGGCCAGCCTCTCTCCCATTTCAGTTGCAGTACCATCAGTAGCTTAACAGTGTTCTGGACAGCAGCTTGTACCTGACCAGCCCATGCCTAAAGAGGCTGGGGGCAGGGATGGGCCGTTCAGTTTGTTTCTGGGTTCAGGGCGGCCCTGGAACTGAGCCAGTCTGGGAAGTTCAGTTCCCCGGCTCTCCCGGCCATGGCGAGCCCTGGAAAGGACTTCCCTTCCCCCTTTCTCCAGGCATGGGGCTCCGCTGTGGGTGGGAGAAAGGGGGCGGGGATCACCCTGGAAGGGACCCCCTTCCACGTTTCTCCTGGCCGAGGCTCACCCTGGACTGGAGGAGGAGAGACGGGATTGCCTGGCAAGGTGCCTCCCATCTCCCTCACAGCTCTCCCTGCCACCCCAGCTGTCTTGGGCTCCCTCCTGCAGCCCCTTTAAAACGGCTACACCGAGGAGCCAAAGGCAGCTGGACTGGTGGAGAGAGCCTTCTCTCCCCCCCCCCCCCCCCCCACAGCCCATTTAAAGGGGCTATGTCAGGGAGCTGGCAGCTGCCTCTGGCTCCCTGGCATAACCCCTTTAAATGGGCTGTGCCAACCCCAAACAGCTGGGCCTGGCAGGGAGATCCACTTTATCCTGGGAGGTCCCGCACCCCCTTTCTCCTGGCCACTGCTCACTGTGGCCAGGAGAAATGTGGAAGGGAGGACCCTCCCCCCCCCCACACACTTTCAGGATATTTTCCCCTCCTCCTGGCCACGTGGCCAGGAGAGAGGGAGATGGGAGGGCCTCTTCCCTTGCGGTCCCATCTGCTTCTCTGGTGCAGCACGTTTAAAGGGGCCACGCCAGGGAGCCAGAGGCAGCTGCTAGCTCCCTGCAATGGCCCCTTTAAGTGGGCGGCACAGGGGAGCCTGCTGTTAGGATGGTAAGGACAGGTCTCCCTTCTGTGGGCTTCCTCTTGCAGCCTGGCTTAAAGGGGCTGCAGGAGGGAGCCCAAGACCATTGAGCTGGTGGGGAGAGATACTGAGCAGTCAGGCAAGAGGAAGATGGGGGACGCCCCTTCCCTGGCAATCCCAGCTGACACAGCCCGTTGAAGGGGGCTGTCCAGGGCACCAGTTCAGCTGCTTCTGGCTCTCTAGTGCAGTAGCCCCTTTAAACAGGGCTGCAGGAGGGAGCCCAAGACTGCTGAGCTGACAGGGAGGGCCAAGGGATCATTGGGTGGCTAACCTGTGAAGCGGTTCAAAGAATCCTGCTGCGATCTTCAGTATTCCCAGGGCCGCACACAGGGAACATCTCACTACCCACCCACCCCCAGGGTTTGCTCTTCGGCTGTTAGAAAAGAGATCCACTGGGGAGCCGTGCTCACATGAAACGGTCTCCGTTCTTCCATTGTGAGTGCTGCGTGTCCCACAGCACGGAGAACTCCTTCACTCTCTGGGTGAGCGGATGGGCTCTGTTTCGGAGGGCAGCTCAGTTTGAGGCTAGTAGCACCTTAGAGGTCAAGATTTTGGGGGTCGATGCTTTTGAGAGTCAGAGCTTCCTTCGTCGTACTTTTCAGAAGTCTCCCTGTTAACTTAGAACCCCCCAAATTAACATATTCTATCAAATCCTTAAATTTACAGTGTGCTTGCTACTAAACCTTTTTTGGGTGTTTTTTTGGGGGGGGAGGGGCTATTCACAGTACACAGAGATGTGCCACATTTTTTGGCGTTTCATGTCCTTGACACAATGTAACTTCCATCTTCCTACCAGCATCTAGGTATGAATTGATTTTGTCCCCCCTCTCTCTGCAGAGAACACTGGAAATACTACGAGCCAAAAAAACACGTCAAAGTACTCTTCAGTAGATGTCTTGGACAGGATAGAAAGAAGAGGCCAACTTTGCAGTAATTTAATTATGTACAGATTAATTGCCAGCTTTTGATACTTTTAATTTAAATTTGGTTTGGTAACCGGATCAGTACAGGCCGATTTGTCTTTAGTTTCTTTCAATTATGGCTTTTTAACCAGATTGTATATAGTTTAATGTAGCATATGACTTTCACCTTGTTTTAATAAAACTTTTCATTTGGAATTTGTCTGGTGTGAGTCAACTAGATTAAATACACTAGAATCTCAAATGAACTGTTTCCAAACTCTAGTTTTACTTCTGATTAACAATATGGAGACATACCAGTTTTGGAAATTGCTGTTAAGTCGCAGCCAATTTCTGGCAACCAGGAGAAATGGAACCACATGGATTAAGAGAAGCCAAAGTGTCTACCAGTTTCTCCTGATGGTCCAGTGGGAAACCCTTTCATTTGAACAAAGGCAGCCAATAGCAAGCCCTGCCTTACAATGGCCCCACCCACATTCAGAAAAGCTCAGTGGGCGCCAAGGGAAGTACTGGTGGCCAATGTGAAGGGCGCAGATGGGGAAACTGAAGCTCTGGTCTAGAAGCCACTTTCACCAATAATGCCTGAGTGGGATGACTTTTACTGATATCCCACCAGAGTCCTGCCCCCCCCCCCCCAATGAACAGCAGGTAGGTTCCATGAGGGGAGATCTGTTCTTTGCCAACGACGATTAATTTTTCAGTGTTATAGGCAGTTTCTAAAAAGCAGACAAATGTGAAATCCTAAACTGAGGACTCTGGAAAACGTTCAGGTTTGTATCTGCTGGAGAAAATGAGGGTTGTGTTCCTTTGGGGGCAAATACAACATATGTTTGAGAACTCTGTTCTGAGTGTACAGAAGAGACACTGCTCCATACCTGTTTTCCCACATTAACCAAGTTTGTGGGTGAACAGTGTTTACACTTTTGTGGCAATAAACACCAGCTGCTGTTCACCTTAAACAGCCACCTGTGAACATTTTTGAGCTGAGGATGCAACTCTTGTGTACAGCTGTTCCAAGTCCACTTGAGTCACTGTGACATAATGCAGGGGTGGAAACTAGCCAGAGGGTCAAAAATACTGATTTTACTGGCCAAAATTCCCAAAATACTGAACAATTTAATGTCAGCCTATCGATAAGCTAGTGTTTTAAAAGTAAAACTAGGACTTCATTAAGTATTCTTATTTGTCCTCTGCCAGCCCATAGTCAGATGTGATCCAGATAAAAGGATCACACCTTTTTATTGAATTTTTTATGTGAAGATAGGACAATGTTTTTATTGTACATAATTTTAAGGCAAAAAAGATTCCCCTTTAAAAATAATCACATACTGTGGATAATAAAATAGCAAAACATTAAAAAACCCACACAAAGTAATCATGACAACAAAACAATTACTGTAAGGTAAGATTTGTCTTTGCTTTTTTGATGAAAAAAGTTATTAATGAACTCTCATTTCTCAAGTTTTCTGCACTGCATCTGCAAGCATTTTTTCCCTTGTCTTCTTCCATTGCTTTCTTCACTCCTAGCATGAGCTGTTTCGTGTTGAATCCCATCGTATCCCTTTTCTCAGCAGCCTCCTTTACACGTTTGGTTGCATCCATTTAGCAACTTTCGAGCAATCATCGTCTTCTCCTCCTGTTGTCTCAGCTTTTCCAGTTTTGCTTCCTTCTCTTGTATACTATCCTTTTCACTGTCTAGCTTCTTAAAAACCTTTCTAACTCCTCTGCATTTTCCCCTTGCTTGTAATGAACATGAGCTGCTCTTGCCATCTGTAAAAGCTCGAGTGTGATATTAACGTGGTATACCTTGTTTTCATATACATGATATAAAGTTTCTTTGACATGAGGTGGGCATTCAACACAGGACATCCTTGCCCTTTCATTGGTCAAAATGTGTCGTTTCTGAAAAGCCTCTTTCTGTGTCTGCACTACCATGCAATAATAATAATGCTGATTTCACCACCTTGGTACCCAGCGAGTATTTTGGATCTCCAGATGGGTGCATCTTTTCAAAGAACTGATTCCAGTATGTATCTATGCAGCAAGTTTCACTGGCAGTTTCATCTTCAAGTCTAAGAAGTTTCCATTCATCCATAATCATGTCCAGAGGACTATCCACCGGGAGGGCTGCTGCTACTTTCATTATATCCTTGCGGGTTCCTTCCTTGACCCTCTGTGCTGGAGCTAAACATTGAAGATATCCGAGGATGGCTTGTCCAAAGATGGCTGGAGTAAAAGGCGTTTGCAGGCTGCTATGAAATGCTTTTTTTGCTTCCATTAAAAAGAGTAGCGGCTCCTTTTCAGAAAGTTTTTTCAGTTCGTCACAGATCCTGCTTTCACTTATTACTTCTTTCACGGTATGCAGTGCTCATCACTGAAGGCTTCAAGAGACATTGGTGCTGAACTCTTACAAACACGATTCATTATGGTTCTTGTTTTTACTTCACTGTACATCACATGCAGCAAAGGCTCTTCTTTTTGGAACACTCCACTGAACTTTGTAAATAAGTGGGCACTCATGCAATAAAACATCACCTCTGCTTTCATTGTCTTGTGTTTCAAGAGGTTAATTCTGTTTCTATACTCTGTGGAAGATTTCACCAAATCACTTTCACTATTATGAACAAAGTCCTTACAGTACTCCATAACTGAACTAAAAACAATCTGTCTTCTCACCGGGAAGTCATCATATTTTCCCCAAAATGCAGTAATGAAAACAAACCCCACAAACTGCATTCACAAAAATTAGATACTGACTTTACTGGCCATTTCCCACCCCTGCTTGCAATGTGGTGACTCAGTCCAGAACTGGCTTAAAATTCAATTCATGGGTACCTTCTGGGGGATTGTTTTGAATGTTTTATATTGTATTTTACTTTTGTACATCACCCAAAGCCCTGTGAACATGGGGATTGCGCAGTTCAAAAATTTTAATTAATAATTTATTTACTTAATTCAATTTCTATTCCGCCCTCCCCGCTGAGGCAGGCCCAGGGTGGCTTACATTAAGAGTTAAAATTCACAACAATAAAAAATACAGTGCTGATGGCAGTAACATCCCGGTAGGCCGTGTTCAGATGCTAACAAAGGTGTGGCCAAGATCAATGTCCAGGGTATCCTTAGCTACTATTGTTGTTGACATAGAGGGCCCCTGGGCAGCTGTGGGTCAGTCAGTCAGACTAACCTACATCACTGAACTGTTGAGGATAAAACACAGAACATAAGAGACGCCAATGTTGGATCAGGCCAAAGGCCCATCCAGCCCAACACTGTATCACAGTGGCCAGAAATACCAGGTGCCATCAGGAGGTCCACCAGTGGGGCCAGGTAATTAGAAGCCCTCCCACTGCTGACCCCCCCAAGCACCAAGAAGACAGAGCATCACTTGCCCCAGAGCCCCTATCTATACCTTGTGGCTAATAGCCACTGATGGACCTCTGCTCCATATGCTTATCTAATTCCCTTTTGAAGCCGTCACCACTTCCTGTGGCAGTGAATTCCATGTGTTAATCACTCTTTGGGTGAAGAAGTACTTCCTTTTATCCGTTCTAACCCGACCGCTCAGCAATTTCATTGAGTGCCCACGAGTGAGTTATCTACTACAACTCCAAGATCTCTCTCTTGATCAGCCTCTGCCAGTTCAGACCCCATCAATGTGTATTTATATTTAGGATTTTTAGCTCCAATGTGCATCACCTTGCACTTGGCCACATTGAACCCCATTTGCCATGTTGACGCCCACTTGCCCATCCTTGACAGATCCCTTTGGAGTGCCTCACAATCCTCCCTGGTTTTCACCACCCTGAACAACTTCGTATCATCCGCAAATTTAGCCCCTTCACTGCTTACTACCAACTCCAAATCATTAATGAATAAGTTAAAAAGCAGTGGACCAAGTACTGGCAGGGTATATAATCAAGTAGTTCCTATATCTTTACTGCCATGCTCCAATTGTGATTATATGGTCCCATTAAGCTTTTTCAAATGAGTGCTTCTGTTTGGAATGAATTTTTCAATGGGGGCCAAGGTCAGCAGCTTCTCAAACAGTAGAAATTTGCACAGCTTCCAGGATTTAAGTTCCCCCCTTTCCCTCCCCGTGAGCTTAACTACAGAGCACTCTACTGCAGAATAGTTAGAAAGGGTGAGCAGCAGTGTTCCCTCTAAGCCGAGTTAGTGTGAGCTAGCTCACAGTTTTTTAGCCTCCAGCTCACACATTTCTGTCTTTACCTCAGGAAGGATGGCTCCAGAGCAAACTAATTTATGCAGTAGCCAAATCGCTCGCAAATTTTAATGCCAGTAGCTCACAAAGTAGAATTTTTGCTCAGAAGACTCCACAGCTTAGAGGGAGCATTGGTGAGCAGTAGGTGAGAAGCCGGAGTTATGAGCATATGAAACTTTCATTCTGCAAGCAACTGGGCCATGCCACATTTATTTATTTGAAACATTAGCAACTCAAGGCAGCTTACAATGTAAATAAAATACATTGAACAGTACACAGAAACATAAAACCAAATTTTAGAATCACAGTTTAGAACTGGTTAAATCCAACACTATGCTAAATAAAACCATCCTCAGCTGCCTCCTAAAGATCAAAAGTAAAAGGGGCCAGGCCCACCTCCCGGGGGGGGGGGGTTACTCCATCATCATGGGGCTGCCACTGGAAAGGCCCTCTGATGTACCCACCAAATCAGCTTCTTTGATTGGTGGGACATTCAGGGGAGCCCCCTCCCTATGATCTTATTTTCCAGGCAGGAACCTATGGAAAGAGATGGTCTTTCAGATTATAACCCAGTCCCAGGCCATGTAGGGTTTTAAAGGACAAATCAAACACTTTGAATTGAGCTCAGGAACAGGTCAGTAGCCAGTTAATTGCTGGCCCCAACCAGCCATCTAGCTGTAGCTTTCAAACATTCTTCAAGGGTAGCCCCAACTAGAGTACACTAAGGCATGGATCACTGGCTAGATCTGACTGATGCAGGGACAGATGCGGCTGACACACTACTTGGAAGATGGGCCACTGCAGCCACTCTGGTTTCCTAAGGTGGCTGCCATGTCATAAGTACCACTCCCAAGCTGTGAGCCTGGCTTCTCAAGAGTACGATGTCATAAAAGACAGGAAAGACTGGGGGTGCCGCCTTTCTGCTAACCCA